ATTTTACAGATGAGGAATATTTCCCAACTGTTCACCCTGTTTTTCTCCTGAGCCTCGGTTTTTATTATTTTCCTACCAAATTCTGTGATTCAGAGGAAGGGAGAATCACTTTGAACAAGCAGAGAAAGTTTGACCAGGGCTTGGGGACTAAACCAAACTGAAATTTGATACAGAAAGGCTAAGAAGTGATCTGTCGAGATTACTGGATCACTGAGCATAAAGTTCAGAAACTAGAAAGGCAAGTGTGGAGGACCACCTGGATGGCTTTCCTTGAAAGAAGATTTTTCTATTTTTTCTCCTTCGGAAACACCTTCAGAAAGTTTAACATTGCGTAGAGTTGAAGCGCAGAGTTTAGGACGTTGGCTCCAGTTTCTTCAGTTTTACAGTGCAGACATCTCCTGAGGTGAATGTCCGCTATCTTTTCCACCTGTTTCGTCTGCTCTTTTTGGCCTGGGCTTACTGTTTGCCCAGTATTGTGTTAGGACCGTAGGGACACGGTTCTTTCCTGTAGAAAGTTCTTCTGGACCTCATCATGTTCCAGAAATGTCCACATTTGTAATCCCATAGAAAAGGTTTTGGAATTCTATCGAGTTAATTCCAGTCTACCACTTCCAGTGCAACACATGGCAAGGATAAAGATACTACTAAGACATGTTTGTAGTTGTGGGGACACAGGGGTTCTAAGTCTGGTCAGAATAATGGCTAATTGGAGTAAAGGCCTCCACTCAAAGCTGGACCTGGGTCTTCTTAATTCATGAAGAGGGGAGTGGCTTGGGGATGAATGATTGAGAGAAAGGTGGCAAGTTTGTGACTGCTGTGAGGCTAGGTAGGAGATTTGAAATCACTTCTACAATATGCAGAAACAGTAATCGGCATATCACAGACTGGGGCAGTATCTCATGTTTTGGGGTGGGTGCTGCAATTTTGATGTGTAACTGTCATGTCCTGAATGCCATGGAAACTCAATCTCAGCCCACAGTGGCCTAGCTCACATCTACTGCTGGGGAGCTGTAGGTGGGGCATCACTGACCTGTTGCATTGCTTTAAAGACTACACTTCAGCACCTGGCTAGACCCATTTGCATTGCTTAGAGCCAGCTGAGGGATAAGGAAATATCCTAGCCAGTTGAATACAGATCAGCGCACAACTAGGACCCAATGCTCTTCTTTCAAGGAGAGCCATCCAGGTTGCCCTCCACACTTCCCTTTAGAAACTTTGTGCTCAGTGATCTGCTAATCTTGACACAGATCACTTCTTAGCCTTTCTGTATCAAATTTCAGTTTGGTTTAGTTCCCAAGCCCTTGGTGAAACTTTGTCTATTCAAAGTGATTCTCCCTTCCTCTGAATGCATGGAGCCTGTACTTGACTATTCCAGATACATGTTTATTTTTGAGTTTTGATCTTCTCAAGTGGCAACTTTTTTGTGTCTTTGATCTCTGAACTCCTGCATTTATTTATTTATTTAACCTCTTTATGACAGGGTCTTGCTGTGCAGTTCAGGCTGGCCCTGAGCTCACTTTGTAGCCCAGGCTGATCTGGGACTTGCAGCAATCTTCCTGCCTCAGTCTCCCAAGTGCTGGGATTACAAGTGTACATGAACTCCTGTTTTTAAAAAACAGACTAATTTCTAACAACATAAAATTACATAAATAAATTTTAGCTTTAGATAATCATATTTCTTCTGATACATGGCATTGTGTTATAGTCTGAAACCACATGCATTAAAGTATAAAACTAGGTTGGGACACAAAATTATATATCATTTGTTTTCTAGATTTAAAAGAAATCCTGGTGAAAAGTCCTTTTTAAAAAATTTTAATTATTATTACTATGACACTTTCTTCATTAATTATCAGCACAGGAAAAAAGTCTTTTGAACTTAGCTAAGCCAGGCCTCAAAAAGTCAGTAATAAATAATCTTGGACTGTAGTTCTTTGAGTTGTGAGATTTATTAAAAATACTATGAAAGACAAGTGCCATGAGCAGAAAGAGTCCTGAATCCTGCCGCAAGTCACTTCCTGGGTCAGCCTGAATTATTCAGTGCATCACGAACCTAGGTTTCTTTACACACCACACAAGGCTGTCAGTGTCAGAGTGGCCACGTTAGGTTTTAACTCACGGAGGACTTCTGGGTGGTTATGTGCACAGGGTTAGTTGAATGCACCCCCATGTGTTGATTTAGCTGGCGAAGCCTGTACTAACAGAAGATCAGTGAAGAGCTGAGGCTGTGTTTTCTCCTAGTTCTGGATGCTGGAAGGCCAAGGTTACTGTGGCAGCACCTTGGATCTCTGCTCAGTCCTTTACCCTTACTCCATTTACTTCAGATTCTCTGTGTCACTGTGTGGCCATTCCTCCACGTACCAGAAACCCCTGGTGTCTTCTGCTGTGTCCAGATCCCCCCCCCCCCCCCCCCGGTCTCTTGGATACTGGAGATTGAACACAGGACCTTGTGCTTGCCAAGCAAGTGCTTATGCCACTGAGCCGTATCCCTGGCCCCAAAATTTCCTCTTCTTATAGTAACCCCAGTCTGACTGGATTAGGGCCTGTTTTACCAGCTTCCTCTTTGAACTTAAATATCTTATTAAAGACCCTGTCTTCAAATGTAGCCCTAAGGTACTGGGAACTTTAATATATGAATTTTGGGGAGTCACAATTTCTTAACATCTATTTTTTAAACTATTGATTTATTTTAACTTATATGGAGACTAGTATAAAGAAGAAACTAAAAATAGCCCAGTACCTAGTTAATAGGCATGGAAAGGAGGGGGCAGGTATAGGTAAAGATAATGCAAAGTTTATTGATGGACATTAAAGGAAAAATTGACATTCTCCCCTAAACCTCTCCTACACTAGGCAGCATCTTTAAAAACATTTATAGAAATATCATATAGAGGCCCCAGGTATTAATGTATCATGGGGTATCCAGGTTTGTTTCTGCACACTGATTGGCCTTTGAAATGGCCCTATTATATTACATTGTGTATGCATCAGATTTAAATTTTGTTAAATTTAATGAGAATTTCAGTTGTTTCTAGGTCCACCCTGCATTACAAACAATGAACTTGGATTCCTTTAAAAAATGTAAGATGAGTAGTGATAAGCCACCCAGTAAAATCAGCTGGCCTCAGATTTGCATGAAAAAGGCCTTGTTTTTCAGCTCATTGTGTATTGGACTTTACTAGAGTTGTGAAAGGTGTTTGAGCCTCTCTGACTCCCTTACTTCCCAGGCCACCCCCTCCCCCTGCAAGGTAAGAAGGGCCAGGATTTCCGAGGCGGCACTGCATTGTAGCACTGCGTCAAACCGCTGCCCAGGAAGAAAGAAGGTCTGTCTGAGTCATCAGTAAGTGTGGCCTATTTCTAGTTAAGTAAAACAGTTGTTTTTGTGGGAATTGCTGTTTCCATGCCCACGACAGCATATGAATCCTTTTTGACTGCTTCCACCCTTTGGCAAGGGGCCCGCTTACTAATGGAATGTGAGGAGCCTTACCGCTAATTACGATTTATAGTGGGGACTGGGACCCAGGCTGCTCATTGCATTTGCAGACTCCCGTTCCAAGCCTCTGAGATGAAGTGCGATGCAAGTTCAGGTCTTGTGCCCAGCCCTCCCTCCTTCCCTGGGACCAGCCTTTCAGCCACGGGGGTCGTCCGGCTTCATTTTGTAAGTTGTGCCATGGGGCACATGGTCTGTTCTGAAGAATGGCTCATTTTATGGAAAGAGGCTGGCCAGCAGGGGGGTGCTTCATTTCCAAGCTCCCCGGAGAGTTCATTTTCATCTGGGACTTTCAGCTACATGTGGCCTGCTGGTGTTTTATTTACCCAGATGTGAGAAATAGTGGTAATGAACAGCTCTCTTCTAAAGCAGCCAGGTTTCCCCACAGAATCCTAGGGAAATGTGTGTAGGCCTAGATGTAGCTTATGCCCTTATTAATGCAAATATTTCTGAGGCTTTGGCTTTGTGATGCTTGTGGACATGCTGTGTGTATGAGCTTTGGTGCAGGAAAAATATAATTTAGCGATAGATATAAAGGTAGTCGACAGTGTTTCTAATTACTGTTTGTTTAGCTCACCATTACCTACTAAGTGGGTTTAAGTAACCTCAGGCATAGGGAATGTAATGTTCATATTACAGTCAACCATGCAAATCAAATTCTAACTAAGCATTGCAGAGAGCACACCATGGAGTCACTTTATAGAAGTATTTCCTTGAATTTTAAATTTAGAACTGAGAGCATTTTGGAATAGGCATTTCCCACCTGTCTTTCATCATCAACACAAGTGATACACACATCCAAAATCAACCTACTGTGTGGTACAATCCCATTTAAATGTCATCAGTCGCTTCTGGCATTCAGTTCTTTTTAATTTAACACAGGAACGAGGGAGGGAGAAACTTATGAACCTCTCCTGTCTTTTCACCTTTCATTGTCTGGAATGGTAAATTGAAGTGTTCTGAGGGTCTAGAATAGTGTTTGTCAACCGTGGATTCAGCTTGGCATCAGCCTGGAAATTTTAAAATTACTGATGACTGAGGACTGCCCCAGAGATTCTGGTTTAATTGTCTGGAACAGTCTGCACTGGGCTTTTTAAAAGTTCCCTAGAGGATATTATTGTGCACCAACAGTTGAGAGATCATGTCATCTAGTGATTCTCAGCTGTGGCTGCCGATTGGCATTGTCTGGAAAGCTTTTGAAAGAAAACAGTGATGCTCCATCAATTAAAACTGTATTTCCGGAGGAGAAAGCCCGTACTTTTTACAAAGCTCCCAGGCAATCCTGATACACAGCAAGGGTTAAGGTCAATCGACTGATTTAATTTTCCCTTATCATGAATATGAAAAAATAAGGCAAAGGTCAAATGGCTTGGTCAAGGTCAAAATGTAGTTGTTGCACTGGTGGTTTTGGGATTCAGATCTGATGCTTCCTTCCTGGTCTGCCTGCTGCCTAATGAATGCCATTTCTTATGTTTGTCTGTTGTATTTGTTCTGCCTCCTCATCCTTCAGGTGATGTTCCAGCCTCCGGGAGGCCTTTTCTGACTCCTGCTAGTGTCCTCCCATCCATGCTGGGTAAGATCCTCTTTTGTATTTAAATGGCACCATCAGTTGAGGAGGACAGGCACTTATCTTTCTTGGAATTGTATAGTGTGTTTTAGAGTCCTAGATACTATTTGTTGAAGTTCCCTGACTTACAAATTTATCAGTTAGTCCATATGGGTTGCTAAAAATAATCTATTTCTTAGAAGGCCCACCTTCTGAAAATAGCTTCTGAAAGCAAAATTTATTTCCTAATTGTCTATGACCTGCTTCACTGTAGGTCAGGATCCCATGAATAAAGCCTTCCCACCCTGCTTTGCAGCAGAGAGAGGTTTGGCAAGAAATGTTTGATGAGGAATATAACTCAGAGACATTGATTCCCAGCAAAAAAAAAAAAAAGGAAAAGGAAAAGAAAAAAAATGTTTGAAGGAATTTTGATGACAAAATGTACAAATGAGATTCTAGTGACTTCACATGGTTGTTAAGCGCAGTGCAGCATCCAGGGACCTTGAATGATGCACTTAGAACTGTACTGGCATAGGGAAAGGGGCGGGGGCACTCCCTGAAGACAGATGTTGTCTGAGAACATAATGTCATTTCATGAAAATTATCTGTTTTAAGGACTGGATTATTTTCTTAAGCATAATGAATATATAATGTTTCATTTCTATGGTTAAATGAAATTATTTGGACGAATACACAGTAACTTGTGTCTTTTAGGGGGAAAATATTTTCATGTTTTCAATATTTATATTCATGTGTCTGTAACAGATATGTTTCAGGAAGTAAGACTGCAGATTACATCGCTAACCTACAGGTGGACAGGAGGCCCCATATGGACATCATAGAAATTAATGGTTTTCTTGGATAGAAAAATCAGAGTTAAAAAGTTTTGGAACCAAGACTGGGCTATTTTGCAGGGTGAAACTCAAAATGTTAAGATAGTGCAGACCAGAAAGAACAATAACCAATGTGTATATTACCATTTAGAAACCTATTTAATGAGACTTAATAGGTCTATGCATCTTTATCAGGAGTAGTTATAGCCCAGTGTGACAGTGTGGAATTGAAGCCACCATAGTATCAGTGAAAAAAAATCTTCCTAAAATAAATATACTATTCCAAATATCCCTGGAGAAGGCCAAAGTATCTTGAAAATACAAGAGAAAGCAATTTAGTCAGAGGTAAATGTAAAAGATTTATAAATTAAATAATTGTTACTACACTGTGAAAAATCCAAAATTTTATAGCTTTTGTAAAGATAAAATATGAAAGTTTGAAGACCTATCTTCTACCTTTTCTTTTTGGATGAAAAGGTAAACCAATAATAGCTACTGATGATAATAGCAACTCTTAACTTAGCCAAAATATATAAGGGAAGAGAAGGAGAGGAAGAAGGGTGTGTTAAATATGTAAGGTTCAGTGTTCAGTGTTTTCACTTATGTCATGCCATTAAATCTTTATGACTGCCCTGCAAGTTAGGACTTTCTCACATCAGATTTTACACTGCATCTGTTCACGAGGGAGCTGAGCCAAAAATGAAATCCGAGTCTGTCTGCTTTCAGAATTCTCATGTCACTGGTCTTTTATGGTGTGACAGTGAGAAGTCTTCAGAGGACACAAATCATTAGCCATGAGCATTTGCCATGCTAGTGGAAGAGGATTGGCTTTTGCTTCTCTTGGCATTCTTACTAAACATCAATAATTTCACAGGAAATAAGTGTTGGTGAGGTGAGGCTTATACACTAGAGGAGGGGAAATGAAGAGAGGAACGTCAAAGGATGTGAAATTTAAGTTAAAGATGAGTAAATTTTCATTACATCTAACGTGCAACGGGAGGTGGTGGGAGACCCCACTAATTTTATCGTGGTAATCATTGCACTGTGTGTATGTGTATCAAGTCACATTATGTACCCTCAATGTAGTCAGTCACCATTCGTCAGCTAAATGTTCTAAAAGGGAAGAAAAAATGGCTAATTTTGCCCAAAAGTCTTATAGTCTTAAAATTTTGCGATCTGATTCTCAAACTGTTTGTTTGGCTTGGGGTAGACAGCCATGCAAAATGGTTGACCATTTCTCCTTTTCTCTGAAATTCCTGGATTTGAGAATCCTGCCTCCTCTGCTGGTGAGCTGTGTGGTCTTAGGCAAGTCACTTAGCCTCTCTGTGCCACAGGCTCCTCGCCAGTAAAACAGGAACAGCACTAACTTGATTGCTGTTCATTTTCCTCTCCTAGGGTGTACACTATACACCCGTAGAATGGTTCTGTCCTGCACTCACATGTCTGGTTTTCTCTGCTAAGAGCCCTGTCTGCTTTCCTTTGGCTGACGTCTTCTCCTTTCCATGTCAGAAGCACAGGGGTCTCCTGTGTTGCTTCCTGTGAGAGTCCTGCCGAAGCCTTGCCGTGACGCAGTGTGCCTGGAACAGGGTGCAGGTTCTGAATGAGCCAAGGGTTACAGTTCTAGATCATGAGCTGGTCTGAAGCCGCTGTTTGTAAAGACTTATTGCCGAGTGCGGGACATTCACCTTGAGTCACAGAGGTGCTTGGTGTTTTCTTGTGAGCTCGTCCTTATCTCGGCAGCACTGGCCACGTTTCCTGCTCCATCTTGATTCTGTTCACAGCCTGCTTGTTGTTTTCCCGTGTATTTCTTCTGGGCCTCTGCATTTTGGCTCTTCCCAGCTGTCCTTGGGTGATCCCGTGCCTTTCTTGGGTCCTCCTGTCTGCACTCCTTGACTCTGCCTTGCTTCATGGCTGGCCGCGGTACCTCTTTGTTGGTTGTCTGATTCACATCTGAATCTTGTTCGAACCTGAGCTTGCACTTCCTTCACTGCTCCGCATCGTATCAGTGATTCCACCTAGTTGCTCAGGCCCGAACCTGAAATCATCCTGGAGTCCCTCCTCCTGTCACCTCTCATCTTCCCTCCGTCAGCGCCCATGCGAATCCGAGCACTCTAATCCCCTACCAGGCACCTACATTTGAGCCAGTAGCCACCAAATCTTGCTGGAACTTCTGCAGTTGCTTCCTGGATCCTCTTCCTGCCTGCCTTCATGTACTTCCTGGTCTCAAGACCGCCACTGTGATCCTTCTGCTTGATACCTTTCTGTGGTTTGTTCCTAGTGGCCCCGCTACAAACCCTATAACATCCAAACTCTTGCCATGCACGTGAGGTCCCGCCACGCCATCCTCATGTCTTTGCTTCTCTCTGTGCTTAAGCCACCTTGGCCTCCTGCTACCCTTGACATGTCAGCACCCTTCCTGCCCGCCGTCCTCATCCCAGCTCTTCCTCCGCACACCGCCTTCCTCGCCTCGGATGCTGATATTGCACTTGATTCCGTTCTTCCTTGGTTGTCACCTGCTTATATCTGGCACCCCTGACTCACCTGTCTAAAATATCACTGCTACTCTTTATACTGTCAACCAGCTTTATTTCAAAGCACCATCTGAAGTTGGTATATTTGTAAGTATATTGTCTGTATATTTATAGGTTGGAAGCTCCACAAACGTGCTGTTTCGGTGCTCGTTAAGTGTTCATTGAATGACTAAATGAGCAAATTAATGCTCCAGTACCTTTCTATTAAAAAAGAACACCATCCTAGAGCCTTATGTCCCTCTCTCTTACTCATTTCTCTGTTCCCTTTTAAAGCAGAACTTTAGAACTGTTATCTATGTATCTTATATCGCCTGTTCATTACTCATGTTATAATCTGGGGTCTTTGCCCATCTCTGTACTGAAATTGAGTTTGTTAGAGTCATCCCAAATCTGTTTGCTCTTTTCAGTGGATACATTTCACCTAATTGGATCTCTGAGTAGCTTTAAGTACACTTTTCTGTTTTCTTCTTGAAATTACCTCTTGACTGGCTTCCTCTTCCCTGCAAGCCATCCTTGATCCTTTCCTGACATTGCCTTTATTGTAGGCCTTGAAATGTTGAGAATCCTTTGGTGCCGGCCTTAGACGCTCACCACTCTGCACACCCATTGATGCCCCAGGGTTTAAGTAAGGACCCGGGCAGCTGAAGATACCGCTCACCACTCCCTTTAAGGTCATCTGCAACACTGAGCTCTCCTGAGTTCCAAAGCCACGTCACTGCCTCCTGATACCTGTCTGGGTTGTGTCTTGTCCAAGAAGGAAGTCTCGAGTTCCCTCCATGAGCCATTTGCCCCATCCTGCCTCTTCACCCCATGTCTTTGCCTTCTCGGTAAGTGAGACTCTTGGCCTCTCATGTCTGAAGTCAGAAAAGTTACCTTTGCACACTGATAACTCATATGTGCTTCGTCAGCCTCCCTCCCTTAAGTGCTTTCAGTTCTACTTTCAAAATGATTTGAATTTGTCTTCTGTCTCCACCTCGGTCAGCACCGTCTCCTGGACTCAGTAGCAGTCTGGCTGTTGGTCTGAGTGCCCTGTGATGCCACACTCGCTTGGCTGCCAGCACTTGCTGTCACCAGGCTCTGGCTTCCTTTTCCACCTTACTTAGTTCCCTGGCCTCGCATCTCTTCACTGTTGGGCAGTCGCAGTCACACCATTTGATTACACCCTTCACAAACGCAGGCCGGGCTTCCCTTCCTTGAACACTCTTTCCTGAACCCTGCGTGGCCAGCTTCTTCTCATCCCACCAGTCTGAATTTAAATGGCCCTCCTCCCTGGGTACCCAGCCCCACAGTCTTTCTTCTTGTATTCTGTATCATGATCCCTGTTTATTTCCTCAGCAGAATGAATTATTTTTAAAGTATTTACATCTAGTTTTTGTTATGAATAGAAGCTTCCTTAAAAGAAATGTCTGCTTTGTTGCTACATCTGCATCTGTGTGAGGCACAAGCCCGGCATGCAGTAGGTTCCAGAACAGCGATTCTTCTGGTTATACACAGGTGCTCACAAGGTGTGTGGCGGGAGACCTCTTTTGGTTTTTTAAACAGGGCTGGAGATTAAACCCAGCAAGCGTTTTACCACTGAGATGCATCCGTAGCCCATCTTCTTTCTTTTTAAAGAGAGGAAAAAAAATGGAAGATTTTTATTTTTCAGTTTTATTTAATTAGC